TGACTGTACGTGTGCTTAATACAAATAAATATAAGGCAATATATATATATATAACCAACACATAAGAGAACATGTTCATTTTACTTTTGGTTGATAATAATTTTTTATTATTTAAAAAAAAAAACTTAAAAAAAAACTGGCTCTAAAGAATTCTGAAAACAAAATTTACAGCACCAGTTAATTGTCACTCAAATATTTTCCTATGAATGTTATAACAATATAAACTCATCTGTTTTTCAGTTATATCGGGTTAAAATATTAAATTGGAAAAAAAAATAGTCCTTCCATTTTTTTCTCTCTAAAATATGAATGCGCACTAATTAATAAAATCATCAAATACAAGGAAAAGGGATAATTCGTTTCGCCGAACAGATATCACTGATGCTGACTTCTTTATAATACAAACCCTTTAAGGTGTCATGTGGCATTGTATGATACCAATCACAGAACCCAATGTACATGCAGTTATGTTCTGAAAATCAAATTAATGTAGATTTCCAAAGTAATGAAAATACATTGTTGCTTTAAGACCCATTTTTATTCAAAATCTTAAGCTTATTTATCCTTGTCTCTTGACAACCCGCCCCCAAATTTCAATGAAATGCATAGCAGTAAGTCGACAGAACAGCTCTGCCTACGTTTACCCAAAACGGATGCTTTTCTTAGTTTTTTTTATTGAAATAATAATTTCTATAAGATCTGACTTTTTGCAGATTTTAAAAATTTTCTTTAAAGGCATTTTTTTTAACATGAATGAAAAGATGTATTGTTTTACTTGCAAAAGATGCGTCATAAATTAATTCAGACATGAAAACATTTCAAAGAAATAGAAGTCTATAATATTTCCTTCACTAGTGTGCTTGTCAACCTTTAGGTTCCTGTGCGTTTTGTTAAGCATCTATTCCTTATAATTTAACTGTTTAAGAACTGTTTATCGTTATGTTATCAATATGATTTACATCATGACCCCTGGGTAGAGGCCTCTGCCGGTGGACTGTTAGTTCCCGAGGGTCTCTTCAGCCTAGTAGCTTAGTACTTCGGTACTAGCTTGAAAATACGGATATATATTTAATTGCTGTTGTAAAATTTATAAATTTACTTAAACATTAAGGATTATCTCCCTCATGCATAGCTCTGATCCTTCGGCGTATTTTGCTCCAGTCTTTGGCACCTTTTTTTTTTTTTTTTTTTTTTTTTTTTTTTAGATCTTCCAAGTCTCTTTATTTAAATATTTCGGATTTCCAAAGTTTCGACATGAGCATCACTGAAGAGACATAAATTATCGAAATGCGCAACTGGTGCATCAAAATTGGTACCGTATATAATTTCCGTTAAAAGAATTCAACTAGGATAGCGTTTCTTATTTACAATCAAACTTAATAAAACTTATTTTTTGTAAAAACTAGGTTTTTTAATTTATTTCATTTTACCAAATCTACTGCTATTTGAAAAAATAACCTGTTTTTTAGTTAAATATTTCGATATGTTTTGTATTCGGTAATGTTTTGTGATAGGGAAGATCTTATTTGAAGCCGCCATTCTTTGCAAAATATATACAGATGAGCTTATATTTTCATAATTTGATATTATATGTAAAAATTATCAAGGATTCCATTGTGTTGAATTTGTGAATAACGATAAAAGGTTTGACCACAAATCACTTATTTTGAAGGCGAGTTTTCTAGTCTTCGCCGCGTACCCCTTCCTATCGTCGCTATTATTTTACCATGTTTTCAGATTTAAAGGATTTTTTTTACTGATGGCATTAATTCAGACGTATAAGGATTGGTCTTTAACCTCATATCGATAAAATCAGTTATTTTGTCGTTTAAGATTAACGTAAACAACTGATCAGCCACTGTCGCCTACGAGGTATGACGGTCACGTGAACTCGGATTTCTAATTTAGGGATTTTCATTTGAGTAAAATAATGTTTTTGAAGAAACAATATGTTTATCCTCCTCAAGGTTGCCCCATAGAGCATTTTTCTGTTAAACTCTGTTTTTGGAACTCATTTCCTTTAGAAGTTTACTTTAAGGTTTTACATTGTGTTGGCGGAAATAAATGATTCCCAAAAACATAACGTGAATCATTTTATTAGATAAAGTCAAATTAATTTTGTGATTGATATCTACAACAGAGGTATAATGCGCAATCATTAAGTGCAATTTATGTTTTAAACGAAATCCGGTTAACCAGGTACGGTGACTGTCGGTTAGTAAAACTCAGTCACCTGGATTCTTTTAATTTATATAAAATTATCCCAAAATAATTATTTTTCTTTAACCCTCTTCCCCGCAGTCACGCATTTTAACGCATATACCATTTCCTATTTCTAACGCAAAATCACACATACACCGTTTCCCCGCAATCACGCATTTTTCACGCACTTTCATAAGTAAATTTAATCTTCAATTTAATGCCAATTCCCTTCTAATTCATACTTGCTAAAATCTCATAAAATAAGAAAGTTATAATCTTTTTAAAATATTACGTCATAATTATTTACTCTAAACTTTAGAGAAACTTGTACCTCGCTACAAAGTGCTTGCGGGGAAAAGGTAACGTCATATTTCTATGACGTGAACATTAAGTGTATGCTGCGTCACAGTTCTGTAAGTTGTAAAGAGTTATCAGACTAACAATTCTTGACCTTTTTTTCTTTGCCATTAGGTAAAACCTTCAGTTCGATATGAAATCAACAACCTCATATATTTTATATGTCGTTGGCTCACGTACATCAAAGTGTTAAGCACAAGAAATAGTGCCTTTGTTTAAATACATTATATCTATCTTCCTGCACTAATGCTTGTGTTTTAAGGTATATATTAACTAAGTGGATCTTGATCTATTAGTTTGAAATAATCCTTAGAATATCATGCTTCTTACCTTATGTCAAAAATCGACGCGAGCCCATAGCATCGGTGTGTGAGAGAGGAACGAATGACAACTCTGCAAGGAAGATTAATAATCAACTTCATTTGATTTTCAGACTTTTTTTCTAATTGAAGTGTAAAAATGTCCGTATGAAAATAAAAACCTAACAATTTGTATCAATTTGTCAGTTAGCGATCAACCTATCTATTGTATTTAAGGGTTGGTTTTATTTAAAAAGGTCGTATAGTTTGGCTTTGATGCAATATGGGTCTCATTTACAGCAAATACCAAGTGTTCAAAACTGAAGTTTTCATGCTAATACAGAAGAGCTTAGGAAACATATACCAATCACATCCCAGAATTTTCTTTTGTGTATTTTTTAATAAATTGAGTTCCCTAGCCATGAAGTTTGATATTGTGCCAAGTAAATGGTATGCGTATTATGATTCTCAGGTTACCAATATCATTATATGTGTTTCTTATTTTTACCATTGCTTGAAATTTTATATGCACTCACAATGATATAGAACATAGCAAAACATAGATACATTTCCTTAAATCAAGGAATATTAAATCAGTTTTGCAAATAAACTGCTTTTTTTCTCCAAAAGGCTAATTGAATTAAAAACATATCATATTTCTGCTAATTCTGTAAAACTTAACGCCTTGTAAAGTGATCAAGGACGTGACGATTTGTATGATATTGATCCTGGGTTGCGGATTTCAATTTTATATCAAAGAACCAGTCTTGGGAAAAAAATAACGATAAAGAAATTACTACGAATACAGTGCTTTTTATTTGTCTCAGTATTTTACTTTTAGTTTGAAAATCATATATTGCAGTTATTAATTATTCCTTCTATACCTTTTATGTTTTGAAATCATCTAAAATTACAGAGCTTCGAAATAACCACATAGGACATTTTATGTATTACTTTTGTTTGTTTGTATGTTGTTTTACGTCCCTCTCGAGAATTTTCACTCACATGGACACCCCACCACATGCCGGTGGAGAGCTGCAAATTTTGTCCTATACTCGGCACTTACGGCCATTGAGCAGTGAGGGATCTTTTTCGTGCCAGCACCTACTGCGACACGGGACCTCGGTTTATACGGTCTCATCCGAAGGACCGGTCGCCACGTCCCACAGTGGGATTCGAACCCGCGACGTAAGGATCAACTCCTTACTTCGCGACTCTAGAGCAGACGTTCTAACCACTGTGCCACGCGGGCCCTGTATTAGTATTGTATTACTTTTGTAGTATTGCGGTATCACAGATATTAAAAAGGAAATGCACACCTGAGACAACTTATCACTTTTTTATTGCCAAAAAGGTACTAAAAAAGTACTCGCCTCTTTTCTTAGCCAAGTAAAACAATATTCTTTTAGAGCATGCCAAATTTATTCGTCCTTATGGGTATTAACATAATTAGCTCTTACATATATACAAAAATACAATATAAATAAAGTGCAATAATTGCCTCTTATTTCCCTTATGGCTTTTAGGAATCCCATTTGCTTTCTGGTCATTCAATATTTCCTTCAGAATTATTGAAAGTTGTGTAGATCTCTCATTTTTGACGTAGTAACTAAAAAGATGAAATGCTCAATTATCATCCAATAGTTGTACAAGGTAAAAAAAAATAAACAAATACAATAGAAATTAATGATTCTTTACACTCCATTCAAGGCAGATTCATAAAACAAATTTGTCCATATGATTTGTCTGAATAAAAAATCAAAGTCATTATACATATATCGTAGGATATTGAATGTCATAAATCTATATTTTGAAGTCTTAAAAACGTAACACTATTCCCTTTTAATTAAATATTCCAACAAATTTTCTTTCCTTAAAAAATCAGTAATTAATTACTGCATATACGAGGGCCGTTCAAAAATTACGCGGACTTGTTGCATAGAAAAAATATTTGACGACAAAAACAAATGAAAAACCACACATATTATAAAGAAATCTTTACTTATATAATTTTTAAAATTTCATTTCAAAACATCGCAAATTGACATCAGTAGAGGGTGCTGAATTAGCATATATCCTGAAGTCACGGCGCAGTCGGCGCGTGATATCTGCGACGTCATTGGCGTCATAAAAAAGGTGCGCTCACATCTTTTCAAAGAACTCCCCTTTGTGTTTGATGCACAGTTTGTGTCTCCTTATCCATTCATCGTAGACATCTCTATACCATTTCTTGTCCAACTTAGAAACTATAGATCGAGTTGCATACTTCAGTTCGTCAATATTGTCAAACTTCCTGCCGCGAAGCTGGGATTTCACCGTTGGGAAGACTTTAAAGTCCATTGGTGCCAAATCAGGACTGTAAGGTGCATGTTCCACTCTCTCGAGTCCAAGAAGATCAAGCTCTAGAATTGTTGTTTCAGCTCGATGTGCAGGTGCATTATCCTGGTGTAAGATCATCTCTGCCAAGTTTGTACCCGGTCGTTTTTTCCTTACGGCATGAAGGAGATCTCGTCTGATAACCTGGAAAATTAAATATCGGGTTCATTAAGATTTTTTTTTTTTTTTAAAAAAAAAAGAAATTTCCCTCCAACATGAAAAAAAAAATTATAAAAATCAAATAAATAAATAAATTGCTAAATAAATAAATTCCTGTTCTTTAAAATTGCAATTTTAAAATACACCTTTTCAACCCATGTTTTATCTTATACATCTACATAATGTATATTAAGTGTTTTATCTGTCCGTGTTAAAAAACTGACCTTCGAATAATAATCTGCGTTAACAGTTTGATGTGCAGGAACAGCGTGGATCAATAGCATGCCTTGAATGTCCATAAAGAAAATAAACATGTTTTTCCTTGACGATTGGCGCAGTTTCGCTTTTTGTGGGGGAGGAGAAGATTTTCTTTTCCAGGCAGACGATTGCTGTTTTGTCTCAGGGTCGAAATAAAAAAGCCATGTTTCATCGGTCGTGATAATCTTATTGATGAAAGAGTCTCCTTCACTTGCGTGGCGTCTAAGAAAATTCCTGGACAATCGAACACGCTTGGCTTTATCATTTACAGACAATAATCTGGGAATCCACCTTGCCGAAACCCTGCACATGTTCAAATGTTCAGTTAAAATTGTATGTACAGTTCCAGTACTAATTCCAACAACTGCTGATATTTCTTGAACTGTGTGACGTCGGTCACTCTCAATCACATTCTTAACACGTAAGATAAGGTTTTCTTCTATGATCGTCTTCCGTCCCCGCCCGGGGTCGTCTTCCACGGATGTCCAACCGTCTGAAAATCTTTTGTGCCACTTGAAGACAAGTGTTCGGCATACCGATGGTTTAATGTCCGCTTGATCAAGCATCTTTTGTGTCTCTGTTGGTGATTTCCCGAGCGCTACGCAAAATTTTATGAACGTGCAATGCTCCGTAACGTCACTTGACGTCATTGTTTCAGCTGTTCTTGAAAGGAACACTCCAGAGAAAAAATTTAATATTTCTATAACTACTCCAAATATTACGTCAAAAATTTAAACCTGTAGTGACGTAACAATGAAAAGAAACTGCAGAGAAAATTGGTGATTTTTTCCCGCGAATTATTGGAAATAAATGAGTAAAATTATTGATTACTTAAATTTGTTTTTCAAAATTGTTGCCGTGCTCCGTACATCAACTTCTGCAATATCATAACAGCAATATTTTCGAGAAAAATTTATTAATAATGAAAAATAATACAATAAATTAATTTGAGATATAAAGAAATATATTTCTCTAAAGTTTTATTGGTATATGACGTCTGTAAGAGTAACTATTACCCGAGTCCGCGTAATTTTTGAACGGCCCTCGTATACTGTTCCTTTTCTTTGGAATCGGATCCCATCTGTCTTATAGGTAACTTCATTTTCATGAGTGTATGTTTTTTTTAATGAGGAACTCTGGGTGTCCTGTCATTTTTAGGCTTTCAGAAACATTCAAAGCCTATGAATCCGTATGAGATTTTATTAATTAAGTATTTATTCTTTTCAAATAAATATAAAACTATTCAATTTATTCATATAAAAAATAAGCCACAGAAATGAGATAACCATGAGAATATCATGGAGGCTGCGCATGTCTATGCTTTTTTCCCTTTGCTGTCAGGAGAACCAGTATTATATAAAACACATTAGATATACCAACAAGTATATGCATGTAACGTTCATGCAAAACACTTTTGACTTTTTCTAGAACCTTGTGATCAATCTAGAAAAAAGGTATTTCTGGTAACTATAAACTTATTTAATTAATATAACTGTGAAATATGTATTTCTAATTCACTGACCTGTATCATGATTTTAAAATCAATATTATTTTTAGTCGAAGCTAGGTACATCATTCAACATCAAATTGGATGAATTTTGATCAATCATAACAATGGATGTTAAAATTAAATATGCATGAACGTAGAAGTGACATGTATTAAAAGTTAAGTGTTCACTTTGTGAGTTTGTTAGGTAATGAAATATAAATATACAATTGCTAATTCACAGAGTGCTTTATCATGTGGGTCAATGTAAAACTGAATTCAATTTTCGAAAATGATATGGTAGTTTGAGTTTTTATATTCTAGTTCAAACGTCTATTATTCAAAATTTGAGACAAGTAAGTACATGTACATGTATTTCGATTTAGAATCAAAGTTTTAAAATTTACGAATTTCCAACCATGTTTTTAATAATGGATTTTTTTTCTCTATGTAGGAGGGCTTTCATATTTTCAAACCTTTATAATATAAACTTTTAAGCTATGAGATACGTATTTAAGCAAGAAAAAACTCACTTAACAAAATAAACTCACACATTTTCATCTTTTGATGTTTCAAAGTTTACTTTAAACTTCTAAGTTTCAACTTCTTTCATAACATTCGATCTTCTTTGGAAGGTAAAAAAAAAATTGACTCAAAAACCCAAATTTTGAATAAGCAGAGCTCGTTTCACAGTGAGAATATTACATCACTCATTGAAAAGATGAATTTCCAAGACTCAATTAGATTTGTGTAACACTGTCGATCCTTACTTTACTAAGTTTCTTACACAGACACAATGCGTTTTTTGGGAGGGCCATTCCTGCCTTTTTTGAATATCCTTTTGCTGTTAAATTAATATGGAAATTTCATTGAAAGGCTAATTTATCCTTCTTTTTGTTACAAATGCATGGGAAAACCATATTGCAGCCTAAAACGATTTTTATAAAACGAGAGTGGGATCAACTTTTTCACTCTCGTCAAATTCTCTTTTAAACCATTTTAATATTAAATTTTTGTGCCCCTCCCCTAAATTTATTAGCCCATACATGAGATGAATATATTATTTACATAAAAGAACAAGTGAATTAAATTGTAATGTAGAGTAGATGGAAATCAGTTGAAGGGAAGGACTGTAACAAGAATTTAAGCAAAAATATGTTGCCGTTATATGGGTGAAAAAGTTTATGGGGTATACTTAAGGCATTTTCTCATGTTTAAAGAGAGAATGAAACACTGCTTGACAAATATTACATGCAAAATAATCTAACCAAAGGAAATAATTATTTCATTAAATTAGAAAATCGTTTTATGTTTATGCTCACCTACAACAGAATCTGGAACAGCAGGGGGCCAACTAATGAAAATGTATCCCCGATTACGAGATGAGTACAACATGACTAAAAGCGACACATGTACTGTAACAATTTACATAGGGTATTCCGTGGGGAATGCAAGCCTGATAATAGCCCTGTTTATAGCTGTTGAAAGATATAGGAAAATTTGTCATCCATTCAGGACACAAATTACCTTTAACCAATCCAAAGCAATGTGCATCATTGTAATTATTCTTGGTTTATTTATAAACATACCTGTGCTATTCATTTATGGAAGAAGAGATATGCAGGTGGGAGGAATAAATACAACACGCTGTCAAGTTAAACGGGAACTTGATCAAAACTTACTTCCATTTGTTTTCTTTGAAATACTTGTTTTCCAAACATTGTTGTTACTGGGTGCCATACTCAAAGCATCCGAATAACTATTACTCTGTGTATTGTTACTGTGTTGCTCTTAATAACTTTCCTAACATATCTGTTCTTTCAGCTCATAGTAGCTCTCTTAAGATACTTTTCTTACGAAGGCAGTGTTTCTATTGCCCATGATATTTTCTACGAATACTTTCAAGACATTGTCGCAATGAACGGTGTTCTTAATCTTTTTGTGTACTTCTTCCCAGACAAGAAATTCAGAAAAGAAATAAAATCATTGTTTTAGAAATAAATGAAAAGTAACTTTTTAAAGGAAAAATAAGAAATGGTGAGTCTGAAATCAATGCTCTATTGTGTTTATACTGGTTTGGGTAACAGGTTTGTATTGCGTTACGGGATCGTCATTTAAACATAGCAATATCTTCCATACTCAAATACTAACGGTGTTGGAGGTAAAAGGATACTAGAGTCTGAGTTCCGGATGTTGATAATCCTTTATTGCACTCCTGTATAATAATTTCTTAAAATTGCGATTTTTATCTGATACGGAGTCAATTTAGTCTTTTTTTCTTCTAAGTTTGAAAAAAAAATCCGTTTTATTCATTATTTTAGCTTAAATTTTGACATAAACCAGATATGTGAAGTATAGTAAAAATCATGTTTCATATGTGCCTGAATTTTTTCTCATATTTCGTTAAACCACAATCCCAATTAAGAACGATTTATATATTCATAATAAAACCACATGATTCTGACATTATTGGTATTACTGTGCCTTTTTGTAAGGTCGAATGAAACATTGAAAGAAATTAAAAGCAATAAAGCAATTAGGAAATCCGAGATTGTAAGAAGGCAATCACGAATAATATATATAGTTCAACAACAGGTTGCATACTAAAACTTATTTGTTAAAGAAATTATTGGAAAAAATAGTTAGTTATAGACATAATAATTGGAGGTGGGCTCAGTAAAAAAAGTTTACTTTAGAATAATTTATTAAAGACATTAAAATCTAGGGATTTGAACAAGTCGACATTACGGTTTGCCAGAGTGGAGAGAGAATCCTAATACAATGGAAGTCTTAAATACGTATATCCTTAATAAAATGTCAGCTTTACAAGTAAAACAGTATTCCCTTTATTTTGATTTCGATTATTTAAAATGTGAAAATAACAACAAAAAAGTTATCTTCATTGTTATGGAAAAATATTCTAACAAGTGGAAGTTATAGAAGATATTCAATGTTTTGTAGTTGTGACGTCATAGTTGTGACGTCATAGTTGAGCAGTTGAGACGTCACATTTGAAAACAATGTAACATTGATTTTAGTAACATATTTGTGAAGAATTGGCAGATTTAGTCTCTATCAAGATGATTTAGTTAAAATCTCTCTCTTATTACAGGCCAGAAATTATTTTTTTACTTACTTTGCTATCCTTTCACATTGTGACAAAATCATTTCACACTGTGAGAGAATATCACTTTTTTTCAATAAATTCAATAAATAAATCACAGTATTTCACTGTTGCAAATGTAATAGATCATTATATCAGTTGGATGATTAAAGGCAAACAGGGTTTTTTTACTTGTGTCTATTTTGTATTTATTTTTTTCTGAAATCGAAAATAGTAATTACAAATAATGTTTTCAATAAGATTTTCCAATTGCAATGAATTATTGTTTTAAGTACATTTGTGGTCTTAGTTTATCAATCATCCCTTTTACATCATTTGAATTGTAGGTCTACTTAATTTATACATATTAGCTAAAATCACAGTCCAAAAACCAATGACGTCCAATATAAGTAATTCATGAACTTGCTAAATGAAAGGACCGGTTCAAACTTTCAAATTTCTTCCTGAGCATTGTTTTCTAGAATACAAATAATTGAAAGCTTAAAAATGTTTATTAAATTTTATTGAAATGTCACTTTAAGTGGATATGGTTAATTACAAGAACTATTGATTTTAGTAAGAAGTATTAATTTCTTTTATTTCCGAATTTTTTTGCAAAATTGTGCTCATTCTATAAACCCCTTCCTGCACCCGTTCTCTCCGCTGTAGTTATTAAAGCTTTATTTCTCATGCAAACAGCTCTGTAAGTTCAAAATCAGTAAGACGAATTTTATGTGTTATTGACATAGAAAACTATAGGTAAATTTTATATTCAATGATTATCCGATATTTTTTTCAATTGAATCTTTTGCCATGAAATTATTTTCCTTTTACTAATTAATGTTTTTCGTTCCTTTATCGAAGCATAAGTTATTCTGTTAATACTGTTCATGTACGTAGTGAATGGAAAGAATCAACTTTCATTTTTTTTTTTTTATTTACATTGAATTGATCTGGAATGCCATTTAGTGAATAAA